TAGTTCCTTAGTTTAAACTAAGGGTACCTTTTGGAACGTTGGCTATCTGACATTAGGAACCAGCAACTCTTTTTATTTTACAGTTCACAATTTTGGTTAAGATAAATCTACCAACCACCATTTCCTTGAATTTTTAAGGATATAAATGTATACTACACAAACAAATCACTTTTTAAAGCAAAACAGTACATAACCACAGTTTTAATAATAGAAGTGTTAATTCTTACCTTAGATGAAATGATCCGGTTATCTATAAATTTCTGAGGTGTATAATGGCCATACTGAGGAAACCTGTTGGCTATATAAATAGTTCTTGTGTCACTTTGATGTGGTGGGTCAAAACCCTAAGGCAAAGCAAAAGAAAAATAATTGTCAGCAAAGTTAGTTGTCATGATTCTTTACTGGTGGTACTTTTTTTTACTTTTTAATTGATCATATTATACCTATTACTTGCCTTGAACTGCATATAGGGTTAATCTATTTAAGCCATTTCTTTTTCTTTCAAAGTAAGTGAAAGTTGCTCAGTCATGTCCAACTCTTTGCGACTCCATGGACTATACAGTCCATGGAACGCTCCAGGCCAGAATACTGGAGTGGGTAGTCTTTCTCAGAACCAGGGGATCTTTCCAACCCAGGGATCAAACCCAGGTCTCCTGCATTGCAGGAGGATTTTTTTACCAGCTGGGCCAACAGGGAAGCCCCTTTCAAAGTAAACAGGTACATTTTCTTTAGATATAAACTAACTAGGTAATAACCTCTGGTAATGAAAAATAGTCCATTCTTTGTCAGAGATGCAACCACAAGAAAAAATAATCATACAGAAGAGCTACAGAAGTTTGTGAAGGCTTCTTTCCTTCTCTTTCATTCCTGGGGTTCCTTGCTTTTCTCTTTCTTACTTCCGTGCTTTTCTCTTTTCCTAGTCTTTTTCTGATTCCTAGTCAGTAATATGGAAGCCCAGCGTAACTAAGGCCTAGTCAGCACCTACCATGTCTGATGACAAAGGCTTACATTTTATTTTATACCCAGATCAACTCGGTTTCAAAGAGCTTTGTTCCCAGAGAACTTAAAAATGCATTGTATAGCCCAGATTCATTCCATACAAGCATTTCTTTGTGCTAGTTACATTATCAATCAACTCTCTGACATGTGGATATATTAATGTTACAATTCTGGCTTCAAATTTAGAAGACATTCAATTAAGGTACATTTAGTAATCATCTCCAGTGGAAAGGTTTGCCGTAGTGACAAGAATACTGATACTTCATTCCTACAATATTACACTCTTTTCCAAATTGACAAGTAAATCTTTTTATTTTTAAAAAATTTATTTATTTTTTAATTGAAGGATAATTGCTTTACAAAATTTTGTTGTTTGTCAAACCTGAACATGAATCAGCCACAGGCATACCTATGTCCCCTCGCTCTTGAACCTCCCTCCCATCTCCCTCCCCATCCCACCTCTCGAGGTTGATACAGAGCCCCTGTCTGAGTTCCCTGAGACATATGGCAAATTCCCATTAGCTATCTATTCTACATATGGTAATGTAGGTTTCCATGTTACTGTCTCCACATATTTCACCCTCTTCTCCCCTCTCCCCATGTCCATAAGTCTTGTTCTCTATGTCTGTTTCTCCACTGACGCCCTGCAAACAAATTCTTTGGTACCATCTTTCTAGATTCTGAATATATGCGTTAGTATATGATATTTATCTTTCTCTGACTTACTTCACCCTGTATAATAAGCTCCAGGTTTTTCTACCTCTTTAGAACTGACTCAAATGCCTTCCTTTTTATGGCTGAGTAATATCCCATTGTGTGTATGTACAACAACTTCTTTATCCATTCATCTGTTGATGGACATCTAGGTTGCTTCCATGTTCTAGCTATTGTACATAGTGCTGCAATGAACAAAGGGACACATGTGTCTTTCTCAATTTTGATTTCCTCAGGGTATATGCCTACGAGTGGGGCTGCTGGGTCATATGGTGGTTTTATTCCTAGTTTTTTAAGGAAACTCCATGTCATCCTTCCATAGTAGCTGTATCAATTTACATTCCCACCAACAGTGCAAGAGCGTTCCCTTTTCTCCACACCCTCTTCAGCATTTATTGTTTGTAGACTTTTTGATGGTGGCCATTGTGACTGGTGTAAGGTGAAATCTCATTGCAGCTTTGATTTGCATTTCTCTAATAATGAGTGATACTGAGCATCTTTTCATGTGTTTGTTAGCTATCTGTATGTCTTCTTTGGAGAAATGTCTGTTTAGGTCTTTTTCCCACTTTCTGATTGGGCTGTTTGCTTTTCTGGTATTGAGTTGTATGAACTGCTTGTATATTTTGGAAATTAATCCTTTGTCAGTTGTTTCATTTGCTATTATTTTCTCCCATTCTGAGGGTTGTGTTTCACCTTGCTTATAGTTTCCTTTGTTGTGCAAAAGCTTTTAAGTTTAATTAGGTCCCACTTGTTTACTTTTGTTTTTATTCCCATTACTCTAGGAGGTAGGTTATAGAGGGTCTTGGTTTGATTTATGTTATTGAGTGTTCTGCCTATGTTTTCCTCTAAGAGTTTTATAGTTTCTGGTCTTACACTTAGGTCTTTAATCCATTTTGATTTTATCTTTGTGTATGGTGTTAGAAAGTGTTCTAATTTCATTCTTTTACATGTAGCTGTCCAGTTTTCCCAGCACCATTTATTGAAGAGGTTGTCTTTGCCCCATTATATATTCTTGCCTCCTTTGTCAAAAATAAGGTACCCACAGGTGCATGGGTTTATTTCTGGGCTTTCTATCTTGTTCCATTGGTCTATATTTCCGTTTTTGCAGAATGGCAAGTAAATCTTCAAGACTTCTTTGATTGGGGAACCCTTGACAGGTTGAAGTGAAAGTCGCTCAGTCGTGTCCGACTCTTCACAACCCCACGGACTGTAGCCCACCAGGCTCCTCTGTCCATGGAATTTTCCAGGCAAGAATACTGGAGGGGGTTGTCATTTCCTTCTCCAGGGATCTTCCCAACCCAGGGATCAAACCCAGGTCTCCCACATTGCAGGCGGTCTTTACTGTCTGAGCCACCAGGGAAGCACTCACAGGTTGAAAGCAATCACCAAACACAAGACCTTTTTTGGTTCTAACAAGCAACGATTCAAATTTTGTTAGATTTACATGTTTTTCATGATGGTCAAGGGCTACTTACTAGTACTATGATGTTATTAAGAGATCAATTAAACTTGGTATTCATAAACTACAATGATCTACTTTTATAAACTAAGTGCTCTTAAGCGAGTAATCTCCTAAGTCATGTGGCTGCCTTCCCATGCTTGGCAGCCCTGTAAAATCTCCATTAGGGACAGATGTACACAGGATAGTACAGATTCCCATACTACCTAGAGGGATACTTTGTTTAGCACATTAGAATATTAGCAGTGCTATGTTTAGGTTTCAATGGTTGTTGTTCATGGTTTTAAATAATTTATTTTGTGATTGTAGAAACAGCTAGCACACAATGGTGCAAATTAAATGTATTTGTATGCACCATTAAAAAATGAAGTTTTATTTTCTTTGTTATGCTATTTAAAGTGATGACCACACTTTTGGATGTGAATGTGCCATTACGTATATGATTTCAAAATCAGTTTAAGGATAAAATGTGGCACATATTTATTTTCCTCATTAATTTTCTTCTAAACATTTCATAATTGTGCCCTGTAATAATTCATGGGAGAAAAAGGCAGGTTTCAAAATCAGAATTGGAACTCACTGCCCAATCTGGAATATCATAATCATTTAAAAGATATATACTATTTATTCAATCAACAACTATCTACTGAGTTTAAGTACTATGTTAACCCATGAAGGACAATATGATTTATTAAATATGCAAGCAAATCATAACATGCTCCAACTCAATAAATAGATGAACAAACAGTCTGAATGCTACTGCTGTAGTCTATGACTGTTTCTCAAAGAGGGTCCACCAGAAGTTTGTCTATACGGTACATAAAACAAGAAGAGACACACACAGATAACTGAAGCACTACACTCCATGGAACATACTCATTCTGTAATCATGTTAACCTAAACCCTAAGTTATACACCATGCATGTAAAGCTTCTGAGATAAAAGAAAAAAAGAGCAAATCTGAGGGCTTGAAAGAATATATAAATCTTTAAGATGTCAAGACAACTGAGACTGAGAACCACGGACACAAAATTCTTTTTGCTGAATCCCAAGATTATTACTATGTACATCTAAAGTTAGACAAAAAACAAAGAAACCACGACCTTACCCCAAAATGCATTATGATATTAGTACTATAACCTCTCATATTTCACAGTATGAATATACTATATATAAGTGCATGCATTTTACAGGAAGCAAATGCTCATCATTCTTCATCCCTCTCTACTGAATGAACTGGTGATCACACACAAATGCTAGAACTCCTGAGATTTCTACAATTACTTCAAGAAGATAAATTGAAATGTTCCAAAAATCAGTTTTAAATTAAACTGAATTTTAAATTCAGTATCACCATATTCCAGGAAATCATATAAGATGACAATACCAAAAGGCAAATAATGATAGCACGTCTTTCCTTATTCCCAAAGATGCTATAACACCCACTTAAGCATTCTGAATTGTTTTTCCAGTGATTAATTCAAATGACTTTATCCAATCTTGTTATAATCAATGGCATGTGTATACATGTGGGTGTATTTTTTTACACACACCAAATAGTTAGATTTTATATTTGCAACTATAGTATAAGGATAGCTAAGCATTCCTCATGGAAGTTAAACCTATAACTTCAATACATGAACATAGTCTTCTCTGCCACAAATTCAAGTAGCCATGAACTAAATAAAAACAAAAGAATAAAACTGTCCAAAAAGGAGAAAGGTGACTTAGAGCAGGGCTTCAGGTCTGTGTCTCTGAAACTGTATGCAAATTTGCATATATGTGCATTCAAATTTTTTTTTATTCTGGCTGCACTGCAAGATCTCAGTTCCCTGACCAGGGATTGAACCTGGGTCATAGCAGTGAAAATGCAGAATCCTAACCACTAGACCATCAGGGAACAAGTATTTTTCTGATGACAGAATAGTTTTCAACAGATTTTGATGACATAAAGAAAGCTAGAACCACTTTAAGGTCTTGTTTTTATACTCAGCTGCCCACCTCAACATTCCATATTTTAAAAATGACACAGAGGATCTTTATTTCAATAACACCTCCACTTTCTTTAACAGAAATCAAAATAGATACCTTTTATCAGAATTAAATAGCTATACTGTTAGTGTGAAGTTCAAGCACAGTTTCATACTATTTCTAGCAAGCATTATCAGCAGTTCTATGGTGCTGCACAAACTGAACTCCCTAATCACTGTTAAGGCCACACATCAGGGTCCAGAAACCTCTGGCATATTACACTTTTTATTGTCCACCCAGACTATCCACTTACACCCTGAACCTTGGATGGCTTGCTTCTTTCTTCTCTGACTTCATCTTGTTCTGAGTAAAGGAACTGAGATACAGTAATGCTATTCTAGCCATCCTGATTTTTGCACCTGCTAAAAAATAGAGTACAGTTGACTCGAACAACTCAGCAGTTAGGGGAGCCGACCCTCCCTGCAGTCAAAACTCTGAGTGTAACTTCAGAATTGGCCCTCTGCATCCTCGGAACCAGCCCAACAGTCCTGTAGTATTTACTGTTGAAAAATCCACATATAAGGGGACCTGCACAGTTCAAACCTGTGTTGTTCAAGAGTCAACTGTATAGGATTTTGGAAGAACACAAATTTAACTTTTATTTAAAAATTAAAACTCTCATATTCTAAGAAAGTATGAAACTAAAAACCTCTTTTTTGTCTGGATTTGTGAGCATATGCAAAAACCACAAGTTTTTTTTTTTTAAGTGGATGAATATTTAAGATGGGAAAAAAAACCCACGATGGCATTCAAGGAAAAAACTGAAAACACATGGGACTGATTTGAAAGAGATTTCTTTTGTAACAGCAAACTCATGAAGCCTAGAAAAACCAAACCAGAAAACAGCTTATAATTTTTAGAAGCTGGTCTGTGGCAAAAAGCGGTACTTGGAAATGAATCATAACATATTTTCATACCAAATATACCAACCTCTGTACTATTCTTACAAATCTCAAAGATTTTATCAAAAATGCAAGCATTATAAATAACAGCTAAGAAAAAACTAAAACTACAGTCCTGTAATTAAATGTCACACTTCCTTAACAAAACTAAGAGAACATTTTTTAGAGCTTAGTGATCAAATCTGTACATGTAATCACTCTTATATGTGATCTATCTCCTCCAAAATACAAAGAAAAAGCTACAAAACAAATAAAAAATCCATGAAAAGTAACATAAAAAGAAGCTTCAGAATCAAAACTTCAATGGCACTGTTTATTAAAATAAATGATCAAAAGTTTTATTTCAGTCACACACTTCATATGACAGAAAGTGATTTCTGTTGCCTACATGTTCCAATGTAACGATGCTTCTGGGGAAGAATGATTTAATGTACTTTACCAAATATACAAAATTAATAGTGAATTATTGTTTCCTGGATATGAACTTGAAGTAAAAAACATCTATGTTGTGTTGTGCTCAGATGCTCAGTAATATCCAACTCGTCCGACCCCATGGACTGCAGCCTACCAGGCTTCTGTTCATGGGATTTCCTGGGCAAGAATACTGGAGTGCATTGCCATTTTCTTCTCCAGGGGATCTTTCTAGCTCACGGATCGAATCTGTGTCTCTTGCATTGGCAGTCGGATTCTTTACCACTGAGCCACCTGGGAAGCCCAAAATACATCTATATGAAGGTATTATAATTTTACACTGTCAACAGCTCAAAGCAAGGTGAGAGGAAATAACTTAAAATGCCTATGATGCAAACACAATAATTTAATTTTAACTCTTTGAATCATGTTACATAATTTTCGTTTTAGGATTTAAGGTAGTCTGCCATTTATCAGACCAGTCTGGGCTTCCAAGAACTGCTCCTACTGCAGAGGTAGGTTGGAACTAGCTTTCCAGTTACAGGATTCAAAATATAGAGTAATCTTTGGCATCACCGACACGATGGACATGAGTTTGAGTAAGCTCTGGGAGTTAGTGATGGACCAGGGAAGCCTGGCATGCTGCAGTCCATGGGGTCGCAAAGAATTGGGACACGACTGAGTGACTGAACTGAGCTTAACTCTAAAATTCTTAAATTATTTGCAAATACTTTACTATAAGAAGTTCATCTCTTACAGGAAGCTCATCTCTTCTTTTACTCCCCAGCCCTAATTCCCCACTCCCAACAAGTAGCAGTCCCTGTGGCAATGACATGGCAACTCCTCAGAAAAGTGAACACAGAATATCCACATGATCCAACAATTCTACCTCAGTGTAAAAACTCAAACAGATATTTGTAAACTCATATTCATGGCAGCATTATTCACAATAGCCAAAAGGTGGAAGCAACCAAGTGCCCATTGACAGAAGAACGAATAAACAAAATGTGGTATGTACGACGGGATATTATTCAGCCTTAAAAAGGAAGGAGATTTTGACATGCTACAACATGGAAGAACCTTGAAGACATTATGCTAAGTGAAATTAAACCTGTGACAAAAGGACAAAATTGTATGATTCCTCTTACATAAGGAATAAGAGTTGACAAATTCATACCTTGTCAGGCGTTTATTCAAGGTACGGAGGGGAGAGTAAAAGGGCATTAGTGTTTAAAGGGCATAAAGTTTCAGTCTGCAAAGATGAAACAGTTCAGGAGACAGACAGTGGTGATGGCTGCCTAACAATGTCACTGTACTTAATGCCACAGAACTGTACATTTTAAAATGGATAAAATGGCAAATTTTATGTTAAGTATATTTACTACTACAATTAAAAATGTTATCAATTTCACCCATTTGGGACTTTACCATAGATCTTCTGGATGTTTCCTATTTGGTCATAATTTAACTGTGACAGTCTCTTACTTGCTAAACTGGTGATTTCTGTGTATAGAGTCACAGAGACATTTATGATAAAAATAAATCTGTGAAGTAGTTTTAGCTTAGATCAGATTTTAAAATTACAGATTTCACTGAGAGAATTTAAGGTTTCTGTAACCAAGAACCCTAAATTAATTTTCTTGATCTACCTATATTTATACCTATAATTGAACACTGGCTGGATAACAAGTGAAACTAGTAAATCTAACTGTGGTGTCCAAATTGGAGATAGATGAGTGAACAATCTACTGAGAGAAATCTTAGTATTGAGAAATCTACTTAGTACTCCTAAGTACTAGCTAAGTACTACTCCATGCAGACCCCATGGACTGCAGCATGCTAGGCTTCCCCGTCCATCACTAACTCCCAGAGCTTACTCAAACTCATGTTCATTGTGTCAGTGATGCCAAAGATTACTCTATATTTTGAATCTTGCAGCTAGAAAGTTAGTACTTAGTAATACTACTTAGTACTCCTTAGTACTACTAAGAAATCTCTTAGTACTACAAGAAATCTACTAAGATTTCTCAAACATTTTTAAGGCTCCTTTTTTCTACTCACAATCACAAACAACAATGGCAATGAAGATGGCTTCCTGGGTCCTCAGTACATCAGAAGCAGTGGGTTTACAATTCTGAGGCCACAGACAAGAATCCTTGATGAAGAAAACATATCCTTTACAAAGTACCTTCAAAATTTAATATCTTAAAATATATATCAATCTACAAAGACAACCATAAAATTCTAAACAATAACAACATTAAAAAGAATGGCATCTGTTAAAAAGAATGAAATCTTTTAAATCCACAGATGGGTTTTAAGGGCATTATGCTCAGTGAAAAGAGTCAGTCAGAAAAGACAAAATATTGTATGATCTCACTTATATGTGGAACATAAAACCAAAAACAAAAAAGCCCAAGCTCATAAATACAGAAATAACAGAAAACAGACAAGTGTTTGTCAGGGTGGGGCTTGGGGAGTAGGTAAAATGGGTGAAGGAAGTAAAAGGTACAAACTTCTAGTTATAAAATAAGTTACAGGATGTAATGTACAGCATGGAACCATAGTTAATAATGTTGTATTGTATATGCAAAAGTTGCTAAAAGTGTAGATTTTAAAAGTTCTCATAAGGAAAAATTCTAACTCTTGTGTGGTGATGGATGCTAACTAGACTTCTTGTGGTGATTATTTCACCATGTATAAAAATTAGCAATAAAGTATGGGGTTTAATTAATAGCATTGAATTAATGCTGGTTAATTAGCATAACAAATGTAGCATAGTAATGTAAGATGTTAACAATAAGAGAAATTGGGTGAGAAAAATGTATAGGAATTCTCTATTATTTTTGTAAACTTTCTGAAAATCTAAAACTATTTTAAAATAAAAAGCTATTCTTTTAAGAAGTTAAAAGCACAGTCCTCAAAAACAAGGACATATGTAAGTTAGAGCAAAGATGCACAGACAGACATGTGCATGATATACTGACCTGGTATTTCTCATTTTGCCACAGATCAATGAAAACTTTTTCTACAAGAAACATTATGAGGGAACTCACAGTCTAAGACATCATATAAAGACTGATAACAGCATCTCTAATTATTTAAGACTTGACTTTCACTGTCTCATAATACATTCCTAAGCTTTTTTTTTTTAAATTCTGTAAATATATGCTGGAAAAATAGTTGATCAAACACTGGTAGGTAAGCACTGTCTCCCTTTAATGCTGCACAGGAGCTGGATTCACAAAATCTCCTGTAAATCTAAGTTTAGACGTCAGTTCCTCTACAATATTTAAATTTCAATAGAAAAACGCAAAATTACAGAACAACTTCCCTGTCTTTCAATAGTAAAAAATTAAGTTCACCCTCAATCTTTGTTAGAGTTTTCTGAACTAATAAAGAGCATAGTGGAGAAGCGAGACAAGGAAGGATATCTATACTTCTTTCGTAGCTCAGGGGATGCAATTGTGAAGAAACAATTTCCTAAGTAAAATGTGATTAAGACTTGAACTGACTGTATACAATTCAAGCTTTAACGTTCACTTGCATTCACTGC